TGTAAAAACATAACTATGCGCTTAAAAACAGAGCTGACTTGATGGGAGATAGCCACCTCAGATTGTCTGTTGGACACGGTTTAACCTTACTGTGTCCTCACCCTGGTTGTTGTTACCGTTGTTATAAGGGATTAAGAGCTACGGCTCATTGCATTTTTGGTTACAGTCTGTATCACTAAAGTGGACATGTGCAGGTGAACTCTGTTCAATTAGTATATGAAATGCCCCAAAATGTGAACTCCAGACAATAATAACCTGAGGGTAAATCCACGTGCGTCTGCCTTTCCCCTCGTTCACCTTCGAAATCCTTGATTATTATATCATGCCAGAGTTCTGAAATTCAGTGACAATGTTGCTGAACAGTAGAATCTGATGGACGTTTTGTGCAGAACCTGTTTGACACTATGGGTTCCAGGACCACTAACACTCTGAGCTGAAAAAGTTTGGTCCTAACCGCACCAAACATCTACAAGTTTGTAAGCTTGTAGACATCATTAAGAAGTAATTAACAGTCCCATGCTGAGACCTTTCTCAAAATTCAGACCGGTGGCAGGCTTCCAACAAAGAGAAGAAAATATCGCAACCCCGACACGAGTGTGCTCAGTCAAACAATGAACTTACGACCGGCAGAAAACAACTCCAGTTGAGTATGCCGATGCTGTATCTCAGCCATGTTGGCCTGAAAATTTAAACATGCTAATTAAATCCAAAATCGTATAATTATTTTTAATAGAAACCGTATCTTAATTTGTTCTTGCACTGCATCATATCGTGTATTTCATCTGTATATGTGTAATGTGTATATGTATCAATGACTACACTTATACCGCATATTCTGCAACAGACTATAATTAATCACCTTATTATTGTCTCTCCATTTACCATGGCTGACTGCACTAATACCCTTTAAACAGTGGACACCGATATCAGTATACATGTAGGCTTTTTGTTCAAAAAGGAATATGCAGGAAATTATATGTAACAATTAACTGTGTACTAATTACATGTTTGAATGTTATCAGTTTTACGTTCTGAGATACAGTGAAGTAAGCATCTTCTAAAATCTTCTAAAAATATAATAAAATACAAAACTCTCTGCCGTATTTTTTGTGGAAATCATTCGATCAAGTAAAAATGACTGCGTGACAAGACGAATCAACTATTTATACCCGATAAAAGCAACTGCCTTATTTTAGGAACAGTGCTATAACAAGACATTTGAAATTTCTAACAAGCAGATACATTAGAGACAGTGACTAGACTACAGGTACGTAATCCGTATCAATCAAAGGTGTAAAAAAACTGAAAATCATATCTGTTGGAGACCTACCAAATATTACCAAGTTTTATCATTACTATATTTATTACAATGCAAATACTTTAGTGATACATTTTTTAGAGGAGAGGGCATACACACTAGTATATTGCTTCCGTGTGTGAATGCAGGTTGTACTTGGTATCTCAGTTCTCAGTTTCATACCGGTTGTATAACTGAATTTGTATATGGAACCATGCGTACAGCATGACAATTACTTGCTATTCGTCAGTGTACAACACACATAACACGGTCAAACAATTTTAGGCACCGCTTTTGCGAGTTATGTAGTACAATGATGTTTTATTAAAATCTATTTCAATTTGTTTTCACCATTTTCCCTATTGACAGTCGTTGTTACGTGCGTCACTAGGTAATTAGTACGGATTGACCTTGTTTATTGTTTCTATACTTTGAGGATTTCTGTGACAACTGGCGGACGTAACTCCTTCCGCACTGACACCGCATCAAATATATTTGTGTACCGATTACATAACTCTAATGGACAGGGTGGGGTGGTAGTTCACCGGACGACACTGTGTATATTGGGCGGCTCCTTTGATATCTCCTCCAAACATACGTTTATTGAATGACCCCATTAAACGATGATACACATCTCGATGAATATATCAAGGCACTAATTCATCTTTCATAAACATTTTTATGTCTTTGTGCTTAATATATCCACATATCAACGAACATTTGTAAAACATGTATCCTAAAAAAAAAAAACATTTTCAGGCTAGGTATTTGCCCACAGCAACACCTGCATAACTGTTTATTCACGCGTGGGTGGGGTGGTAGATCGTAATTGACCGAGAGCAGGTATTGTAAAATCACCTGTAAATAAGGCCGACACTGTAATTAGATACAACGTACTAATGAGAATTATCATAAGAAGGCTGTTGTTTTTTCTGAACTGTTACCATTTTCATACCAAAAGTGACAATGCAGTTAAAAGTTGCTTAAGTGTCACAATATTCACTCACGTTTTCCTCAATCGCATTGAAACATAATTCCTACTGGTCAGTTCGAAACCGCATGTAATTAAATAATTATTTCGAGATTTCGCTAGAATGTAAGATATTCAGCCAAACGTTATGCAATAAAAGACGAATAGTTTTTTTCATTAAAATACGCGCACGCGTACCTGTATATTGCATACCTGGTGACACGTAATTGCCCAGTGTGATGTATCAACGGGACATTAAATGGGAAATGAAATAGAAACTAACTAAAATTTAATGTTGTGGAAAATAACTCCAATGAATTGGAGTACACGCACATGAATCCGTATGATAAACTGTCAAAACGTTTTAAGAGGTAAGGCCGGGTTCATTAAAGATCGCTACAATATGTAAAACAGGTGAAATTTGTAGAACTAAAGGAAACATCCAACCAAATGCCCTTTTTAAATAGTAATGTAATGATATAATATAAAGTATATTTCACATGATACAATATACTTTGCAAACAGTTAGTTGATGCTTGAAAGGGACTGACGAAAACATGGGCGAAATATTTTAATAACGCCGTAAAATAGTTGAATTAAGTAAAAATTAGTTAAATTTTGTGTCATGATACTTGAATAAGTACATTTAATGTATTTGCTAAACAAAAACATGAGTTTTGAGTAAAGGAACATATACTCGCCCATGGGCCAAACCTTTTTCTCGCCCATGGGCGAAATATTTCAATATCGCTATAAAATCGTTGAATTAAGTTAAAATGAGTTAAATTTTGTGTCATGATACTTGAATGAATACATTAAATGTATTTGCGAAACAAAAACATGAGTTTTAAGTAAAGGAACATATTCTCGCCCATGGGCCTGCCCATGGGCCTACCCATGGGCCAAACCTTTTTCTCGCCCATGGGCGAAATATTTCAATATCGCTATAAAATAGTTGAAATAAGTTAAAATGAGGTAAATTTTGTGTCATGATACTTCAATAAATACATTTAATGTATTTGCGAAACAAAATCATGAGTTTTAAGTAAAGGAACATATATTCTCGCCCATGGGCCAAACCTTTTTCTCGCCCATGGGCGAAATATTTCAACATCGCTATAAAATCGTTGAATTAAGTTAAAATGAGTTAAATTTTGTGTCATGATACTTGAATGAATACATTAAATGTATTTGCGAAACAAAAACATGAGTTTTAAGTAAAGGAACATATTCTCGCCCATGGGCCTGCCCATGGGCCTACCCATGGGCCAAACCTTTTTCTCGCCCATGGGCGAAATATTTCAATATCGCTATAAAATCGTTGAATTAAGTTAAAATGAGGTAAATTTTGTGTCATGATACTTGAATGAATACATTAAATGTATTTGCGAAACAAAAACATGAGTTTTAAGTAAAGGAACATATTCTCGCCCATGGGCCAAACCTTTTTCTCGCCCATGGGCGAAATATTTCAATATCGTTATAAAATCGTTGAATTAAGTTAAAATGAATTAAATTTTGTGTCATGATACTTGGATGAATACATTAAATGTATTTGCGAAACAAAAACATGAGTTTTAAGACAAGGAACATATTCTCGCCCATGGGCCTGCCCATGGGCCTACCCATGGGCCAGACTTCGCCCATGGGCGACATAGTCTAAATATTGAGTTTCTAAACAATTTTTTTTTCATTTTTTCTTCCTTGGTATGTTCCCATGAAAACGGCATGTTTAATTTTGTAAATACCTTTAACCGAGACTGGGCAAAGACCGTAGAGTTTCTGGACTTTTGTGTTTCCAGAATTAAAATTGGACGTGTTTGTATAATTAATGATAAAAAAAACATGTTTTGTAAAATCTATATAAAAAAGGACAAAAATCAGTTTATTTCTATTTCCGACAGTATATTATTAATGTTTGTTCCAACCCTATTTCGAGTAGCTAATGTTAAACGCTATCAATACTGATGATCTTTTTGCACATTCAGATTACTAAACTTACAATCTGAGCTATTATGAATATAAGCCAGCCGCGACATAAATTGCAAAGAACCAGGAAGTACAGGCGTGGTTTATTTCACATTCATTTCTTGTGGTGCAGGTGTGTTTGTTTGTTTGTTCGTTGTTTAAACCCGCACTAAAAAATAATCGAGTCTCGACCAGACAATCCTGTGATTAACATCATGAGCATCGATCAACGCAATTGGGGTGCCATGACAAGCATCAACCAAGTCAGCGAGCCTGTCGCCTTTTACGGCAAGCATGGGTTGCTGAAGACCTATTCTACCCCGGATCTTTGCAGGTAAGGTGTAGACATGGGTCTACCTATGTTGCATATCCATCAGTTGCTATGAAACATGCCTGACTTAAACCAAAGAACGGAAATATTCGGTAGTCGTTTGTTTTTGTAAGAAATATGTCAGATGAAATGGTAAACTGCGCAAACTATACAAAAGACACCATCTGAGCTTCTAACTCATCTGTGTATCTCCAACGATAAGCTTTCAATCAGCTTAACCTGATGTTGCTTTACACGTAGAATACTTGAATTCTATTGGTCAGTGACGTTTGGATTCATTTCCATGTATACTACAGATTCGTATCGCATGTTTAAAATTGTAGTAAATGATAAACACGGTGCTGAGATAAATTCGTAGTTGCCCTATCGCTCGGGGAATTTTGATGTACCTCTTTGTGGCCGTGATAATCGTAACCCGCGTTGTGTATTCTCACCTGGGATACTGCAGAGGGTAATTGGGTGATTCAATATATTTCGTTTCATATTCGTTTATCTTTTCGTCTGTGCCACAACCTGAAACGTTGAATAGTTACACAGCATTGGATTGATTCATGAGTAGAGTTTTGATTGTTTGATGATGAGGATGTCCAAGGAGAAACAGGACTGTTCACATTGAGAGGCACAACAAAGAAAGGATGCGGTAATGACTTTCCATAGCTGTTAAATATCTAGTATTACCGCTTATGTTTCACAAATATGAAATACCTTCATCAAACGTTATCATCAACCCGTGACACATTATTCACAAACGATGAAACAGTTTATAACTGTTTAGATTAAGGCCCTTTTGTAACTAGTTTAGCCATGTACAGATTAGGCATCTTGATGCAATGTGAAATGAATGGACACTGGTCTCGTAAACATAACCAGGGCGAATATGTGACAGTGTGGTCATCCTGACCACCGTGCCCCGCCCCTCCACTTCCATAGTCAACCCCTACCCTCAAGATACTCCTTAGACATCTAAACACGTGGTATGTATAATGTTTAACCCAAAATTTTCTGCACAAGGTACTTAGTATACTGTATGGTGCATAATACGCTGCAGGTGTTAATCAACACGGATACAATGGAAATGTACAATGACTGAGACGTGACATAAACGTTATAGTAGGAGTGCCGATAGATGCATCTCATTCGTCCTGTCTTAACAGATTTGATGATGTTTTTTAAAACGAATGCATACAACTTAAAAACTTACGGGAAGATGTTGGCTCGACAGCAGTGAAGGCCAATTTAAATCCTTTCAAGGTGTTCGAACTATCGGAGAGGAATCGAACCTTCATACTCATCCCTGTACTCTGTGTATCTGGTCCATTCGATCCACACCATCGACCAAGCGAGCGTTCATCTGTTCCAGTGACTATTGCAAGAATAGAACATGTATGTGATATCATGAAGATATTGTTATACTGACAACAAATCACATACACATGCTAGGATGCTAGCTGTGTTAAGACAGGCATTACTTTTAACATATATTTGGGAATGATATTCAATTATTCCACATGACTATTTTATTTTCATTTTTTAGTGTAAAGTGGGAGTAAAAACCCGATGTGATTCTTGTGGATGACATTTTCTACTCTGCAACTCAAACGACGAGGTATAACCAGGATTAACATCAATTTATTGCAATGAAAAAATGACACTTGTCTTACAAAAACAGTTACACGCATCGACATAGAGACGCTTATTCGTGTGCATAACACTCTGTCTCTCTTACTCAATTCTAGGAAAACCCTAAATGGGTGTAAGTCATAAAGTCATTACCGTCATAGAGCTGCACATAATCATAGGAACACGAGCTGTGTGGCTCCAGGTAGAAATCCACCACTTCGACATGGATTACATATCCTTCAAGGCGGGTGCTAATTGTCCATGAACAATCTGCATTGCTAAAATTAAAAATAAATTATCTATTGTAAAATATTTTACAAAATTCGAATTGTAGCAAGATCTGTGTGTTGTTCATGACGCAACGCCACAGTTTTGCAAATTCGCCACAGTATTCCGTGAATTGCAACACAACCCTCATGGAAGTTTCTGGTGTTTCTGTTGACTTTCTTAAAGAGTACTACATTTAATGAACAAATACTATGCTCTTATTTACGTTTTGTTTGTTGACCATATGTTAAATTGTCGAACATATAGGTTCAAGAACGACTGACAATCTTTCGCGATAACAAAAGATATGGTTAACTCTATGCCCAGTGTCACACTGCTGAATACAATATTATGAATGGCGAAAATGATTAGCATGAGGTTGAGGTTAGAAGTCTCCATGCATAATACTATGTTATAAGTTAATACACATATGGAAAAAAAGGCAATTGAAATGTACGAAAAGGCGGGTCAAGTTTAATGGTTTCTCCGAAATTTTGCTGTTTACAAGGACCCAAATTGATTTGTTTTATTTGCGAATAGAGTGTACGTGCTTTACTGGTGCTATTCTGATTTCCTGGTGCTGTTAATACCATGTCGTCGTTAACTTGAGCCCATCCCAAGTCACTCTCGAACACTAAATACCTATATACATCAATCTGTACTCATGAAACGAGTCTTAGCTAAGTGTTTTGTGAATGTTGGGACATATGGATAAGTCATGCCGTTATAAAAATGGAACATGACAATCGCCATTACGTTAATTCATGTGGGTTAAAAATAAAACATATTTCACATATCTTTGTGAACTAATCTCGTTTGTTTTTTGCTAGAAATTTTTTGCAGGTAATCCAATTGGAACCCACAATCCTACTTTAAATTTCCCCGTTTTCCCGTTGCCTATATCGATGCAGTTAAAACCATAGGTACTGCAACTTTTGTTGTATAATTAATGATAAAAAAACATGTTTTGTAAAATCAATATTAAAAAGGGCAAAAATCAGCTTATTTCTTTTTCCGACAGTATATTATCAATATTTGTTCCAACTCTATTTCGAGTATCTTATGTAAAACGCTTTCAATATTGATGATCTTTTTGCACATTCAGATTACCAAACTTACAATCTGAGCTATTGTGAATATAAGATAGCCACGACATAAATTGCAAAGAACAATAAAGTACAGGCGTGGTTTATTTCACATTCATTTCTTGTGGTGCAGGCATGTTTGTTTGTTTGTTCGTTGTTTAAAGCCGCACTGAAAATAATCGAGGATCGACCAGAGAATACTGTGATTAACATCATGAGCGTTGATCAACGCAATTGGGGTGCGATGACAAGCATTAACCAAGTCAGCGAGCCTGTCGCCTTTTACGGCAAGCATGGGTTGCTGAAGACCTATTCTACCCCGGATCTTTGCAGGTAATGTGTTGACGTGGGTCTATCTATGTTGCATATCCATCAGTTGCTATGAAACATGCCTGACTTAAACCAAAGAACGGAAATATTCGATAGTCGTTTGTTTTTGTGAGAAATATGTCAGATGAAATGGTCAACTGTGCAAACTATACAAAAGACACCACCTGAGCTTCTAACTCAGCTGTGTTTCTCCAATGATATGCTTTCAATCAGCTCTACTTTATGTTGCTTTACACGTAGAATACTTGAATTCTTGAATTCATTTCCATGTAGACTACAGATTCGTATCGCATGTTTAAAATTGTAGTAAATGATAAACACGGTGCTGAGGTAAATTCGTAGTTGCCCTATCGCTCGGGGAATTTTGATGTACCTCTTTGTGGCCGTGATTATCGTAACCCGCGTTGTGTATACTCACCTGGGATACTGCAGAGGGTAATTGGGTGATTCAATATAATTCGTTTCATATTCGTTTATCTCTTCGTCTGTGCCACAACCTGAAACATTGAATAGTTACACAGCATTGGATTGATTTATGAGTAGAGTTTAGATTGTGTGATGATGAGGATGTCCAAGGAGAAACAGGACTGTTCACATTGAGAGGCACAACAATGAAGGGATGAGGCAATGACTTTCCATAGCTGTTAAATATCTAGTATTACCGCTTATGTTTTACAAATATGAAATACCTTCATCAACGTTATCGACGTGGTGAAATGTGTTAACAAGAAAGATAATTAGAGTTTTGTTCTTTTCAATAACTCCATGTTGAAAACATAACATTAACTTTATCTGGCATTTTAACAGAGCAACAATGGGTCTTCTTTCACCACCCTCCTTGGTTCAGTTATTATTATAAATGATGTTGCAGTTTTAATGCTAGGACATATGGATAACTCATGCAGTTAACCAGTGGGACAAGATAATTGTCATTTTAATCAGAGACAGAAAATACCTGACGTCCTTGCCATGTATTTCAAAGAAAATCCTCTTCCTGTCACAGAGCCGTCAGTGTGGAAGGTGATCGTCATCACGTTACTGGAGCTGACCACGTCCCTGGTGCCATTACAGTATTTACCCAGCTTAGTGTCGTAGGACGAGGAGCCTTGAATATATACATTGAATAACCCATGTCGTCCAGGCATAAACGTTAAGATACGAGAGTTGAAGTCAAGTTGAGGTTAATAAATTAATTATTAGGCATATTTTTGCAAACTAAATCAACAAAAAGAGCAATATGACTTCATTCATTAAAGCACTTTCATAAAATTGAAAATTGTGCTTACCGTCACTGAAGCGGAGATAGTCTCTTGCACAGGTGGCTTCATATTCCAAAGAAAGAGCTATAATTTCGGCTTTTATTTTATATCCAGCAGGTGCAGAAATTGTCCACTTGCACTCCATATTGCTACAAAGAACGATGTGGTGTACTCTTTAAACGTAAGCACAGATGAGATTCAAAAGGAATGAATATAAAATGTTGATAATTGTATGTCACCTTGACATTTTGAAACCATGAATATGACCAGAGCAAAATATAAAACCAACATAACGTTTCTCCCCAGGGAAGGTAAAGAATTACATTCCTTTGTCGTGAAGGTGTTCCCAATTATTCAAAAGCTGCAATACTTAAAGTTTGGATTATCTGAAGGCATCAATGACTAAGGAAGAGGTAGAATGCTAGGGTAGAGGTTCAAACAATGCAGAATCTCTGTCCCAATATGAAATGTTCAAACAGTGTACAATGTCATGTAGTCTCTCAACAATAATTCATCATCATTTCAGGTGTCTGCTGTGGATGACACCTTACAATCTTAGTGTGCAGTGACTGGATGCAGTCAAGTCACTGTTGTTTTTGAGGACAGAGATAATTTTCGTTATCCAGAATAGCAGGTGATGGTCACGGATGCACATACTGGATCCTGAAACAAGACACGTGTCTATGCAATGGGAAACACCCTCCGCACTCAAACATCAACAGGCAAGGGCATCTATTTTATTGGATGCACTACTTGTCTCCTAAAATTATAATCACGAATGCCAATAATGACAGTATTGAGGCAAGCAAGAAAACTAATTTCCTCGGGGTTCTGTAGCTTTGGTCAAGCACCTATTTATTGTTGAAACTCAAGAAGTTCTGAAGGTCATGTGCTTGTATATTCTGGAAGTCAAGTATTTCCTTTTTAGAGCAGGGCTTTTTGTCTATAAGACTTAATATCTTTATTTGAGCATATTCTTCTATCATTTAGTTTCCACGAGACATATATATCTTAGGCATAGGTCCACAGTGTCCATTTCAAGCCTAGGTTACTCACTCATGTAAAAGTGCAGAATTATTAATTAAACCCCCATGACAGCTGTTTGTGTTTTGTTAGAGTGTTATTTATTTAGTCATCATATCTAGTATACGGTTGCATATTTAGCGAGCTTGCATAATCTTTTATGTTTAATATACTTTTATAGATTGCCTTTGGAACTAGATATGACAGTGCATCGACTTCCTTGATGAAACTGGGTTTTTTTCAACAAGGTTTATGAGCCACTTATTAGTCGTTACTGAATAAAGATTATCCATCTTGTTATATAAACCACAAGAGTTTAACATATTAGTTATACATTATTTCCATTACTTCTTGTATCATGATCAACATAGTTCTAATCTGAGTGTGAGTGCTTCTGATTATCTGTTCCTGTTTTATGCCAGTTGTTTATAAATCTCATTTTCCAAATTCACCATGAATCAAGAAGTTTTGGGCACTGTTGATATAAGTCTTGTTGTCATTTAAAAAAAGTTATAATTTCTCAATCATTTCGAATTTTCCGTGTCCCCATATTTCGCAGCCATGTAGGAGAATGTGTGTTACCAATACATTGAAGGCTAAAAACAAACAGTTTAGTGGCAGATTTATATTTCTTGCTTTTTTGAGCGAGGAAGACATGAAATTAAATTAATTTCCACCGCATACAAATGTCATAATTTTACATTTAGAAGCCCTCGACCCAACTATAACAATTTTACTCTAATTTGACTGATAATTACCAATCAATGCAGTAATTGTGCACAGCGTCAGTGGACACAAGCATGGAATCAAAACTCTCGCAGAAAAGTACAGTATCATCACCATACAGCAGAAGAACAAAATTAACATATAGAAAAGTATTATCATCGTTAACTAATAAACAGCCATTACACTGCCATTCATTTAGAAATGTCTCATGATCATTTAGATAAATTGAGAAATTATATCGGGATACATTTTCCACTTATCGTATGCAGTATAACTCGGAAAATGATCTGATATCTTAACATTAGCCATAACATTAACCATGCTTGCGATGGGTTAATAAGATTATCCAATCTATTGTCTCTCATTTCGATATTTACTTTTATTAACAAACTAGTCGTAGGAACTCAGCTCCCTGACAACGGTGAATTAATGACCTACGATCATAGGACATGCTATTCGATGTACACCTCTTTGCATCATGAACACGAAATCCCAACATATTAACAAGTCTACATTCGAGTAATACTTTACTGCCAACATGACCTATGAATATGTTTACTTACCGTACATGTAGTTGGAGAGAGCCATGCTGTGCAAGCTTAAAGGTAGCCATCGAGATATATACAAGCGCTGCTTAATCTCAACAGAGTATTCTCCTGATTAAGCGTCCTTCGGTGAGGTGTATAAACACTACATGGTACTATTGATGTGTGCAATTCAATTGTGATGTATTATGGTAATGTGTTATGTTAGGCCAGTCAAGTCAAGGATAATAGTCATGGAAAAACTAGGATTTGAAACCACGACCATGGGATTCAGGCATGTTTTTCTGCACAGCAAATTGCAACGATAAAAACTATTGGGTCACGCGTTCGATCCCTCGTGGTAGGAAGGGTAGTATGTATTGGTCACCTTGCAGCACGAAGGTGTCATTATATTATATTAACATGCCATTTATCAATAAGGGGCATCAACCAAAGATGTATATAGTTACTTACTTGTTGTAGTTGGGGTAGCCAGGAGACGACAAATATCTCCAGGTGGATGTAGAGGCGCTCGGCAAAGAACTTCCACAATTAAGCCCTCTCGCACCTTTATAAAGGGATAGAAAGCAACAGTGAAAGGATAATTGTTAAATCCTTTCAAGGTTATAAGCTGTAGAGGGTGTAAGTGGAATGGTTTTACGCCGCTTTTAGCAATATTGCAGCAATATCACGGCGGGGGACACCAGAAATTGGCTTCATACATTATACACATGTCGGGAAAAGGAACCTCGACCTTCGGCGTGACGAGCGAACGCTTTAACCACTAGGCTAAACTGACCGCCCCTATAAGCGGTGAAATATATTATAATGGAAAATTTAATGAACCTGTTGTTCACATATGTTCACATATGCAACTACAGTACGTTTATAACGAACACGCTTATAACGAACTGGCGGATATAACGAACTGTTTCTTTGGTACCGGCTATTTGCTGCATAAATGATTATAAAGAACTACGGGTATACCAAACTAAAATTTGTGGTCCCCTTGAGTTCGTTATAACCGTAGTTTACTGTTGTTAGTAAAGATCATGCAATGAATACTTTTAATCTTTATTCAAGATCGATCAATTCCGAGGGGCGTGTTAAACCAACGGCATCTGAATAATTTAGAAACGTGAAATTGTTTACTCGTGTCACTAAATGTATAACAATAACTTAGTAATCTAAACACGTGGTATGTATAATGTTTAACCCCAAATGTTCTGCACAAGGTACAAGTATACTGTATAGTGCAAAATGCGCTGCAGGTGTTAGTCAACACGCATACAATGGAAAAGTACAATGACTGAGACGTGACATAAACGTTATAGTAGGGGTGCCGATTGATGCATTTCATTCGTCCTGTCTTGACAGATTCGATGTATTTTGAAATGAATGCATACAACTTAAAAACTTACAGGAAGATGTTGGCTCGCAGGCAGTGAAGGCCAATTTAAAACCTTTGAAGGTGTTCGAACTATCGGAGAGGAATCGAACCTTCATACTCATCCCTGTACTCTGTGTATCTGGTCCATCCGATCCACACCATCGACCAAGCGAGCGTTCATATGTTCCAGTGACTATTGCAAGAATAGAACAAGTGTGTGATATCATGAAGATATTGTTATACTGACAACAAATCACATACACATGCTAGGATGCTAGCTGTGTTAAGACAGGCATTACTTTTAACATATATTTGAGAATGATATTCAAATATTCCACATGACTATTTTATTTTTATTTTTTTAGTGTAAAGTGGGAGTTAAAAAAACACTCGTCGACATAGAGACGCTTATCCGTGTGCATAACACACTGTCCTACCTACTCAATTCTAGGAAAACCCCAAATGGGTGTAAGTCATAGAGTCATTACCGTCATAGATCTTCACATAATCATAGGAACACGTGTTGTCTCGCTCAAGGTAGAAATCAACCACTTCAACATGGATTACATATCCTTCAAGGCGGGTGCTGATTGTCCATGAACAATCTGCATTGCTGAAATTTAATAATACATTATATATTGTAAAATATTTTACAAAATTCGAATTGTAGCAAGATTTGAGTGTTGTTCATGACGCAACGCCACAGTTTTGAAAATTCGCCACAGGATTAGGTTAATTGCGAGACAACCTTCATGGAAGTTTCTGGTGTTTCCGTTGACTTTCTTAAAGATTACTACATTCAATGAACAAATACTATGCTCTTATTTACGTTTTGTTTGTTGACCATATGTTAAATTGTCAAACATATAGGTTCAAGAACGACTGACAATCTCTTGCAATAACTAAAGATATGGTTAATTCTATACCCGGTGTCACACTGCTGAATACATTATTATGAATGGCGAAAATGATTATCATGGGTTTGAGGTGAGAAGTCTCCATGCATAATACTATGTTATAAGTCAAAACACATGTGGTAAAAATGCAATTGAAAGGTTCGAAAAGGAGGGTCAAGTTAAATGGTTTCTCCAAAGTTTTGCTGTTTACAAGGACCCAAATTGGTTTGTTTCATTTGCGAATAGAGTGTCAGTGCTTTACTGGTGCTATACTGATTTCCTGGTACGGTTAATACCATGTCGTCGTTAACTTGAGCCCTTCCCAAGTCACTCTCGGACACTAAGTACCTATATACATTAATCTGTACTCATGAAACAAGTCATAGCAAAGTGTTTTGTGAATGTTGGGACATATGGATAATTCATGCGGTTACGACAGTGGAACATGACAATCGCCGTTACGTTAATTCATGTGGGTTAAAAATAAAACGTATTTCACATATCTTGGTGAACTAATCTCGTTTGTTCTTTGGTCTTGAATTTTATTGGTCAGTGACGTTTGGATTCATTTCCATGTAGGCTACAGATTCGTATAGCATGTTTAAAATTGTAGTAAATGATAAACACGGTGCTGAGATAAATTCGTATTTGACCTATCGCTCGGGGAATTGTGATGTACCTCTTTGTGGCCGTGATAATCGTAACCCGCGCTGTGTATACTTACCTTGGATACTGCAGAGGGTAATTGGGTGATTCAATATATTTCGTTTCATATTCGTTTATCTCTTCGTCTGTGCCACAACCTGAAATTTTGAATAGTTACACAGCATTGGATTGATTCATGAGTAGAGTTTTGATTGTGTGATGATGAGGATGTCCAAGGAGAAACGGGACTGCTCACATTGAGAGGTACAACAAAGAAAGGATGCGGTAATGACTTTCCATAGCTGTTAAATATCTAGTATTACCGCTTATGTTTCACAAATATGAAATACCTTCATCAAACGTTATCGACGTGGTGAAATGTATAAACAAGAAAGATAATTAGATTTTTAATCTTTTCAATAAATCCATGTTAAAAAACATTCATAACATTAACTTTATCTGATGTTGCAGTTTTAATGCTAGGACATATGGATAACCAGTGGAACAAGACAGTCGTCATTTCAATCAGAGACAGAAAGTACCTGACGTTCGGGTCATGTATTTCAAAGAAAATCCTCTTCCTGTCACAGAGCCGTCAGTGTGGAAGGTGATAGTCATGGCGTTACTGGAGCTGACCACGTACCTGGTGCCATTACAGTATTTACCCAGCTTAGTGCCTTAAGACGAGGAGCCTTAAATATATACATTGAATAACCCATGTCGTCGAGGCATACACGTTAAGATACTAGAATTGAAGTCAAGTTGAGGTTAATAAATTAATTATTAGGCATATCTTTGCAAACTAAATCAACAAAAAGAGCAATATGACTTTATTCACTTAAGCACTTTCATAAAATTGAAAATTGTGCTTACCGTCACTGAAGAGGAGATAGTCTCTTGCACAGGTGGCTTCATATTCCAAAGAAAGAGCTATAATTTCGGCTTTTATTTTATATCCAGCAGGTGCAGAAATTGTCCACTTGCACTCCATATTGCTACAAAGAATGATGTGGTGTACTCTTTAAACGTAAGCACAGATGAGATTCAAAAGGATTGAATATATAATATTGATAAGTGTATGTTACCTTGACATCTTTAAACCATGAATATGACCAGAGCAAAATATATAACCAACATAACCTCTCTCCCCAGGGAAGGTAAAGAATTACATTCCTTTATCATGATGGTGTTCCCAATTATTCAAAAGCTGCAAGATAGTCTTTAAGCATAAACGAGAGACCTCTAAACCTGATTTAAAGTCTGGATTATCCGAAGGCATCAATGACTAAGGAAGAGGTAGAATGCTAGGGTAGAGGTTCAAACAATGCAGAATCTCTGTCCCAATATGAAATGTTCAAACAGTGTACAATATGTCATGTAGTCTCTCAACAATAATTCATCATCATTTCAGGTGTCTGCTGTGGATGGCACCTTACAATCTTAGTGTGCAGTGACTGGATGCAGTCAAGTCACTGTTGTTTTTGAGGACAGAGATAATTTTCGTTATCCGGAATAGCAGGTGATGATCACGGATGCACATACTGGATCCTGAAACAACACACGTGTCTATGCAATGGGAACACCCTCCGCACTCAAACATCAACAGGCAAGGGCATCTCTTTTATTGGATGCACAACTTGTCTCCTAAAATTATAATCACGTATGCCAACAATGACAGAATTGAGGCAAGCAAGAAAACTAATTTCCTCGGGGTGCTGTAGCTTTGGTCAAGCACCTATTTATTGTTGAAACTCAAGAAGTTCTGAAGTTCATGTGCTGTTATATTCTGGAAGTCAAGTATTTACTTTTTAGTCCAGGGCACCTTCGTCTATAAGACTTGATATCTTTATTTGAACATATTCTTCTATCATTTCGTTTCCACGAGACATATATAACTTAGGCATAGGTCCACAGTGTCCATTTCAAGCCTAGGTTACTCACTCATGTAAAAGTGCAGAATAAATAGTCATCATATCTAGTATACGGTTGCATGTTTAGCGAGCTTGCAAAATCTTTCATGTTTAATATACTTTTATAGATTGTCTTTTGAACTAGATATGATATTGCATCGCCATCCTTGATGAAACTGTTTTTTCAACACTGTTTATATGAGACACTTATTAGTCGTTACTGAATAAGGTTTATCCATCATGTTATATAAACCACAAGAGTTTAATATATTAGTTTTACATTATTTCCATTACTTCTTGTATCGTGATAAACATAGTTTTAAACGGAGTGTGAGTGCTTCTGATTACCTGTTCCTGTTTAATGCCAGGAGTTTATAATTCTCATTTTCCAAATTCGCCATGAATCATGAAGTTTTGGGCACTGTTGATATAAGACTTGTTGTCATTTAAAAAAAGATATAATTTCTCAATCATTTCGGAATATCCGTGTCCCCATATTTCGCAGTCATGGAGGAGAATGTGTGTTACCAATACATTGAAGGCTAAAAACAAACAGTTTTGTGGTAGATTTATATTTCTTGCTTTTTTGAGTAAGGAAGACATCGCTTTGGAACCATTTTCTGACAAACCTTTAATTGCACTTAATAGACGCTGGTTCCTGTGAAACCTCCGAAACTCCAAGGTAATTGAAATCGCGGATGGAATTAAATTAGTTTTCACAGCATACAAATGTCAGAATTTTACATTTAGAAGCCCTTGACCAACTATAACAATTTTACTCTAATTACTCTGATAATTTCCGATCAATGCAGTAATTGTGCATAGCGTCAGTGGAAACCTGCAAGGAATCAAGACTCTCGCAGAAAAGTACAGTATCATCACCATACAGCAGAAGAAATAATTTAACATATAGGAAAGTATTATCATCGTTAACTAATAAACAGCCATTACACTGCCATTCATTTAGAAATGTCTCATGATCATTTAGATAAATTGAGAAATTATATCGGGATATATTTTCCACTTATCGTATGCAGTATAACTCGGAAAATGATCTGATATATTAACATTAGCCATAACATTAACCATACTTGCGATGGGTTAATAAGATTATCCAATCTATTGTCTCTCATTTCGATATTTACTTTTATTAACAACCTAGTCGTAGGATCTCAGCGGTGAATTAATGACCTACGATCCTAGGACATGCTATACGATGTACACCTCTTTGCATCATGAACACGAAATCCCAACATATTGACAAGTCTACATTCGAGTAATACTTAACTGTCAACATGACCTATGAATATGTTTACTTACCTTACATGTAGTTGGAGAGAGCCACGCTGTGCAAGCTTAAAGGTAGCCATCGAGATATATACAAGCGCTGCTTAATCTCAACAGAGTATTCTCCTGATTTAGGGTGTATAAACACTATATGATACTTTTGATGTGTGCAATTCAGTTGTGATGTATTATGGTCATGTGTTATATTAGGCAAGTCAAGTCAAGGATAATAGTCATGGAAAATCTAGGATTTGAAACCACGATCATAGGATTCAGGCATGTTTTTCTGCACAGCAAATTGCAACGACAAAACCTATTGGGTCACGCGTTCGATCCCTCGTGGTAGGAAGGGTAGTTGTATGTATTGTTCGCCTTGCAGCACGAAGGTGTCATTATATTATATTAACATGCCATTTATCAATAAGGGGCATCAACCAAAGATGTATATATGTACTTACTTGTTGTAGTTGTAGTTGGGGTAGCCAGGAGACGACAAATATCTCCAGGTGGATGTAGAGGCGCTGAGCAAAGAACTTCCACAATTAAACCCATTCGCACCTATATAAAGGGATGAAAAGCAACAGTGAAAGGATAATTGTTAAAACCTTTCAAGGTTATAAGCGGTAGAGTGTGTGAGTGAGTATGGTTTTACGCCGCTTTTAGCAATATTGCAGCAACATCACGGCGGGGGACACCAGAAATAGGCTTCATACATTGTACACATGTCGGGAATGGAACCTTGACCTTCGGCGTGACGAGCGAACGCTTTAACCACTAGGTTACCCTGACCGCCCCTATAAGCGGTAGAACATATTATACTGGAAAATTTAATGAACCTGTTGTTCATTTCAGTTCACTTATGCAACTACACTAAACTACGTTTATAACGAACACGCTTATAACGAACTGGCGGATATAACGAACTGTTTTTTTGGTCCTGGCCATTTGTTGTATATATGTTTATAACAAACTACGGGTATACCGAACTAAATGTGTGGTCCCTTTGAGTTCGTTATAACCGTAGTTTACTGTTGTTAGTAAAGATCATGCAATAAATACATTTAATCTTTATTCAAAATCGATCAATTCCGAGTGCCGTGTTAAACCCACGGCATCTGAATAATTTAGAAACGTGAAATGGTTTACTCGTGTCACTAAATGTATAACAATGTGATTTTGTGTTGTTTCGCAGCAATCATTGTAGACGTAAGGCTAAGTAAATAATCTATCTCTACCATCAATTCCAGCCCAAAGCACCATTAAATATGGCCATGCCCAAAACAGTCCCACCCCCACACACACCCCAACCCCACACACATTGTAGTCATGAATACACATGGTAGGTTGACTGTGTTATTATCCCTTGCTGGTTTCCTTTTTAGGCTACACAAAACGAAAGCCTAAAACGTATGCATATAAAACAAGAAATATACGGGGATTTTATCAGAGACAGTGATTGCTTCAACATTTATCATTTGGTTAGAGGGAGAAAATCAGTTTCCTTTTTCACTCATATTTTGCTCAGGACATCCAACATATCCACCATTGTTTTGTAAACCTAGACAGGAACCAAATTATATTTCAGCGTGTTTGGAACCTTTATAGTCAATTTCAAAACAAGAGAGTAAATTTGTGTTTTATGAAGTGTAAGTTCAATGTTATAGAGGAATCATTTAAACAACAATATAGAGAAGTACCTGACGTCCTCGCCATGTATTTCAAAGAAAATCCTCTGTCCGTTGTAGAGCCGTCAGTGTGGAAGGTGATGGTCATGGCGCTGCTGGAGCTGACCACGTTCCTGGGGCCATAACAGTATTTACCCAACTGAGTAGCGAAAGACGATGAGCCTTGAATAAATATATTAATAAAGAATAAAGACATACACGTTAACATACTGTAATGAAGTCAACTTGAGTCCAATGAAACAAATTAATGAGCATATCACTTGCAAACCAATTAAACACAAAGTGCAACATGATGATGTTTAAGCACTTTCATAACGTTGAACATTTTGCTTACCGTCACTGAAGAGGAGATAGTCAAATGCACAGGTGGCTTCAAATTCCACAGAAAACACTATAATTTCAACTTTTATTTTATATCCAGCAGGTGCAGAAACTGTCCACCTGCAGTCCATGTTGCTACAAAGAAATATGTATTGTAATCATTAAACGTACAAATCAGATCAAACGCATAAACGCACAATAGAATAAGACACGAAATCTTAGAAAGCAATATAAGTCTGGGCTAGCTGGAAAGCAATTTCCTTGACACCACTCTTACGTCCGTAGCAACGTGGTTCTTCCTGGTAATTATCTGTAATTATTCTGACATTTTGAAGCCATGAACATGACCAGAGCAAAACACCAAATCAATGTAACGTTTCTCCTAAGAGAAGATTATTAATGCATCCCTTGTCCACTGTATGGCTGGTGTTTATCGTGATGATGCTCCCAATTATTCAAAGCAGCCTTCAAGCGAAAACGAAAGTGACCTGAACATGATTCAAAGTGTGGAATTTCGAAGTCATCTGTGACTAGGGAACAGGTATTTACAAGGGTAGAGGTTCAAATTATGCAGGATCTTTGTCCAAAAAGGAATAAAATGTCATGGTAGTGTCTCAACAATAGTTCATCATCATTTCAAGGTGTCTGCTTGATGGCACCTTAAAACCACCGTAGTGTGCAATGACCGGATGCAGTCAAGATTATTGCACTTATATAGCGACGTGCATCCACCATGTGTGGCTGCCTGAACTTGTCCTGAAGAATGCCAATTTTAGAGTGCGAGGCCACTGAGATTCCATGCCGCAGTTTAACACGAATACCCCACTTCAGACACAGAAAACTGACTGCGAACATAATCAATCTCTCTCAAATCTTTGAATGTGCATTGACCAAAATGTAGATCATTTCCCAGAAAGCCGTCAGAAATGAATACATTTTTTTATGTACACATATAAATCAAATTATATTCGTAATTATTGACACTTTTGTCAGCTTCATAAGTTCACGATAATGGTTAGTTTAGTTTCATAAGTACAGTATCTGGGTTAAAGTCATTAGACAGTTCATTCCCGATATGCAGATCCAAAATACAGTAGTCAAATAGGCTACTGGTTCGGGTATTAAAATCACCTTTGGAAAATAGTTTTCGGAAATTGAAAACCCTTCAATCAGTGGTCTCTCTAATTCGAAAAACAACAACATTTCTTTGGATGTATTCAGGGGGCAAATAAAAATCACCAAGGTAAATATCATCATCAAAACTAAACATATCTGTTCCAGTATTTCACGGCTAACACAATACCACCTTATCTTCGGCGATGAAGGTAAGTTAAAGGTAGCCATCAAGCGTTATGTACAAACGCTGCTTAATCTCAATACAGTATTGTTCAATTCAATGTCCTTCGGTGAGGTGCTCTGAAACACTGTAAGATACTATTGATGTGTGCAGTTCAGTTGTGATGTATTATGGCCATGTGTTATGTTAGGCCTTCCAGGCTTTGGATGTAGATCGGCAGCTTCCTTATATGCGAGGCGAAAGATTTAAATGATGTGCATCTAAGACTAATACCCACGGGCACGATTATGATACAAACAAGTCAAGGATTATTGTCAGAGAGTATCTCGGATTTAAAACCACGATCATAGGAACCAAGCATGTTTTTGTAGGTCCCCAACTCTGTACAGCAAATTACAACGGGAAAAATCGTGGTTGGAAGGGTAGTTGAATGTATTGGTCATTTTATGGCACAAAGGTGTCATTATATTGACATGCCATTTATCAAAAAGGGGCATCAACCCAAGATGTATATATGTACTTACTTGTTGTAATTGATGTTGGGGTAGCCAGGAGACGACAAATATGTCCAGGTGGACGAAGAGGCTCTGAGCAAAGGACTGCCACAATTAAGCCCATTTGTTATTTCTATAGAAACAAAAAAGACAGCTAGAGTGAAAGGACAATTGTTCATGTTTAAAGGTCATAAAGCGGTAGAACATATTTCAATTGAAAAGGTAAATTAACCTGTTTTTCTACTAAATTCACATATATAACTAGTCAGCAAACATCATGTACAAATACTTATAAATTTTATAACAACATCATAGTTTAGAAACGAGAAAAGGTTTATTTTTTGTCACTAAATGTATCGTTATATTTATACAAATATCAATTATATTTTGTTTCACAAACACCCATTGTAGACGTAACACTATGCTGTGTCCCATGTGATTCAAGTGTGTCTAGAAGCAGTGACCAAGTAAATAATCTAATTCTACCATCCCCACATCCCTTACACCATGACCCCGATTATTAAATAGCCAGCCGTCAACACACAATACTTGTACCTGTAGTAGTAGTTAGGAACGTTCCAGCTTTGTATTTCAGATTAAATCCTAGTGCTGTGTCAGAGCCGTCGGTGTGGAAGGTGATGGTCATGTAGTTTCTGGAACTGACGTCTACCCTTGTGATGTTACTACGACCACAATATTTTCCTAAAGACGTGGAACCTTGAATAAACAAATAAATATATTTACTCACTCATGTCATCGATTTAGACACTTATATTACACCTTAGTAATCGAATCATCTTGAGGCTAATATTATAAGTTATTGATCAAAACTCAATACAAACATAAGCTTGAATATTTATATTCTGTGCCAATCATCTCTCATGAGTACTTATTACACTAATAATTATGAATCCTTGTATCTGAAACCAGCTGAGGGGCTTAAGTTGTCCACACGATAAGCATAGGCTTGCTCATGTCGTATGGTTTGTGGCATAAGCGTAAATTAAGTGAACTTGAATTATTTCGGATTCGTGGTGTAATTTGGACTGATATTACAGATATTGATCAGAACTTGTTAAACACCAATACAGCAATACACAGTTATGATTATATATACTTGAAATATTTAAAAAAAATATGTACAGTGTGCTTACCGTCACTGAAGAGAAGGTAATCACTTGAACAAGCTGTCGAGTATTCCACATTAAAGTACACAACTTCGACTTTAATTTCATATCCAACCGGTGCAGAAATTGTCCATTGGCAGTTCAGGTTGCTGCAAATAGAACTTGCTACATTCAGCTTTACATGCATACATACAACCACACACGCACACACACACAACACACACACAACACACACAACACACACAACACACACACACACACACACACTCAGACACACACTCAGACACACACACAGACACACTCTACCTACAATTTATGTGTGGATTGCTACTTCCCTGGCACGTGTGCAGTGCTACGTTCAAGTCGCGTGTGTAATGCTACTACTTCCCTGGCAGTGGTACCTTCACTTCACATGTGTGGTGCTACTACTTGTCACATGTGTGGTGCTACCTTTAGGTCACGTGTGTAGTGCTACCTTCACGTCACGTGTGTGGTGCTATTTATTTGCCACATGTGTAGTGCTACCTTCACGTTACATGTATTGTGCTATTTGCCACCCTTGCAGTGTTATTTGTCAATTGAGTAGAGCTACTAACTCACTGACTAACTATTACTCATTTGTTACGCGAGTAGG